CCCATATCTGTTAATTAAGTAAACAGACAGGTTTTTATGCATAGTTAATAGATTACATTATTAGGTTACTTTGACCATCGGCCATTATAGATCAACATAATCTATAAGGTGAGAATCAAGATATTTCATGATATAGTTAATGCGTTTGGGGATGTTTCGAATAAAAAGGAAAAAAATAATAAAACATAAGTGCTGTTGTGGCTGCTGTGTGTCACATGACGCTGAGCGTTCATTCAGGATCCGGGTTCGCATGCTGTCTGAGAGATGCATCTTTCTGTGCGCGCTGCAGGTATGTGTCAGTCAGTGCGAGTAATGCATTGAGACGCATTTTTTGTGTGCGTGTGTGTGTGTGTCTTATTACGATTAATAACTCTTTTAACATCAAGCACGTCCTGCACTTTATTTTCTCATTCATGCATATTATTTTTCTAAAAAAATGAAACTGAAACATCAGACGCAAGTGCTTTGCTTCCGAAGGACATACAAAACTTTTTTATTAATTCATAATAAGAGCTATTTTAGCCTACAATAAAACAGTAATAATATGTATTATAGGCCTATTTAAATATATTTTTAAACATCTAGACTATTCTTTTTTTTTTTTTTTTTTCATTGATGCAGACTCAAAATTAAATTTCATATAAAGATGTACTTAAGTCCTACTTAGGTGGGTTAAAAACACTCTTAACTGCATTTAATATAAATTTAAACTATAACAGATTTTCATTTAATTTTAAATAACACATAATTATGTGCCGCGAAAACACTACATTCGGGTCTCATTTAAGTATTTTCTAAACTATTAACTACAAATTATTTCAAGTATTAATTAAAATGTATAAATAAAAATATATAAGTGTATTTATAAAATGTATAAGTACAATTTACAAGTGTACTAAAGTGTTCAAGACAAATATTGGATTAAATAATGCATTTTTAATTACACTGAACTATTTTTAGCAATACTTTTCAACATTGAATGAAACAAATTTAAAAGTAAAAAAAAATCCTGCCTCATCTGTCATCTTTCTCTCTCTTTCTTTTCCTTTTTTCTTTTTTCCTCTAACTGAGCTTGGTGCAATGCTTTGTGGGATTACCTTATCAGCAAAGGATACATGTGATACTGCTTTAGTATGTGGTTAAAACAAGGTCCCTTGATTCATATGTTAAATAAAGTTTAATGGATCAATGTATCAATCTGTTGAATCAAATTCTAGAAAATCTAATTTTCAAATCTGACACAACAACAATGATTTCCAGTGTAATTTGCACCAGGTGTTTCTAGCAGCTCAAATCCAAACTTTGCTTGCACCCCGAAAAAAAAGGCTAACCACCCCCTGAGTGCTGGGTATCATTGGAGAATATGTGCTTATTTGA